TTTTTTTTTTTTTTTAGTTTGTCTTTAGTCCCCAAGAAGTTACACTATGACCAATTCTGGTAAATTCATTTGGATTTCCTCTCATCCTGAACATTTTTATTTTCCAAAAATGTTGGGTGTAATGGGCAGAGGCTTAGCTAAGAAAATTCTTAAAGGAGATTTAATTTGTGATATAAAAATGCTGAAGTGCAGGAAGAAGAGCAAATAGATGTTTAATATATTAATAACTAAGTACCTCATACTCAGCAGTCTCCAGGCACTGAATGTGAGAAATAAAGGTATGAATGCGACAGCTAAAACATGACTTCATTTCTGTTCCCAGACCTAGGGAAAAGAGAGAGTCATCTCCACCTGTCCTTAGATACTCAACTTGCCAGTTAACTAAGAGCAATGTTAATAATAATGGAGAAATTTGTGAGAAACTGTCCTCACTCTGTAGAGTGGGAGCTGATAATATCCTCATGCTGAAGGCAAAGCAAGATGAATTCCCACCATCCTCCCATATACCAATCCCCAGTGACTGCTGATTGCTCACCGGGACTGGAAATGAGCTCCTAAAACCACTGAGCACTAATTACAGTGAATTATATTAAAATATTTGATCTCTGTCATAGTGAACCAAGCCACCCTAGTTCACAAATAGCCACATGAGGACTTTCACAATACTTCCTCCTGCCCTATACGATGATATCAGCCTGAACACACACATTCCTGGATTGAGGGTCTTTGGTGACAATCTGTTGTCCCATTTTTCTGATGCAGGGGTAAGAGTCACTTGCAGCTCTCCGGAGGCAGGCTGTAGGATGGCTCATCCCCAGCACCATCACCTACCTCTCTTGGTGAAAAAAAAAAAAAAAAGAATTATTTCCAGAGCAAACAAAGAGCCAGCAGGAGCTCCGAGACCCAGGGTGCCATCGTGGGCTGGCCGCAATCTGTCCCATCAGTCACAGGAGGTACATGGCTCTTTGGGAACAAATACCAACTGCATTGACTGCTCCGTATTTTTTGAAGGAAACATTGTGCTGAAAGATGAGGTCTGACTGCCTGCAGGGCTAGGCGAGACCCACACTTCTCACAGGATCTGGTTTCACTGCCTGAGAACATCTCCATCTGCCAGCTGGCCAAGGTGCTTCATGCCTCAGGCGCTGTAGCGTCCCTGTCCAGGAGCCTCCACACCTACTTCACATTTTTTGTTCTTCCGTTAATTTTTTTCTGCTTCTTCAATAGGATTTTCATGTACTGGGGAGGTAATGGGAAAAACAAAACAAAACATCAACAGAGTGGTTCTTAGCTGTGTATTACGTGTGGCTTAACACTCAAGAAATTAAGAAAATCTTTCATTAAGAAAATCTACCTGAGTGAGAGTCCAGACCTGCCCAGCCGTGAGCTCACATGCAAGTTTGGGGCCATCCACAGATGCTGATGGGGAAGTGTTTTTCCCATGCAAATGTAAATAGGTCTTCCTTAAACACCACCACATTGAATACCTGGAATACCATTGAATACCTGAAATGCTCTCTCCAGTAATTATATCCATTCACTTTTCCTTATTTTGCTCTGTCAGATATATATTGTTTATAATCCTCATTAATCCCCACTACTTCCAACACACACGGGCAAAATAGCTAATTCTGTATGTCAGACACAGCTACAGAAAACAATTTAAAAAACCCCATATGTGCCCAATGACTGAGGCTCAGCTACAGTTACTGCACTGCCTCAGCACTGCAGCAGAATCCTAATGACTGTATTCCTAAAACTGGCACAGGAAACCAGCTGGTTAGGTGCCCTCATTTAATTTAAAAAAATATATTTTTATCAAATATTTCTGGTTCTAGAAATCACCATCATTCTGCACTCCATGGTAAGCTTCAGAAAGTTGGAGTTTGGGGGACAATTTTTTTTGCAAGTACAGGAAAACAGGGCCATTCCTTGCCTTCACCCCCCAGCTTGCTGCCGACGCTTTGGACTGAAGCAGCCCCCACCTGCACGGTGCCCACCTGAGATTGGCTGTAGGAGGCCCATGTGCTGCCCATCACAATCAGCTCATCTCAGCCCACAGATTTCATGGTGTTCCTGAGCGAGGCTGCCTTTCCCTCCTTGTGACTCAATTCTTTTTTTCAGAAAGAGAAAGCTCCACCAGAGGGAGCACAGGAAAACAGCAGCTCTCAAAACGAGAGGAAGCAAGGACACAGTGTAAAAAAAATCTTCATTCTCTGTATTTTATGAGGTGCCCCATCAGCATGCTCCAAGTGCCAGGTGTCAGTCTGCTGCCCAGCCATAGGTGCCCAAGGCTGGCCCCAGCAGGCAAAGGAGCATTAGGAACAGGTTAATTCAGACCTGCAGTGAAGCTGAAGGGGATCCCTTGGAAGAGTAACAGATCCATCCACCGGCTGGAAGAAACATTTCTAACCAGGGACCCCAGAGCTTTCTCTGCTCCCCTGGTCACATCCAGGCTTTGGGGGAATGGAAGATACACCAAAATCTCCATCCTTTGCAAACAGTGGCACTTATTGCCACAAAGGAGTGTGCAAAATAACAGCAGCAAGAAACCTGCCTGGGAGTGCAGCCATATGCCTGGTGGTGCCACCGTGGTGGCTTCTGAAGGACAGGCACAGCGTATTGAGGGTCTGGAGTGGGGCAGCAAAGCTCAGCTCTGTCCCCCATCATCCCCCAGTTAAATGGGCTGCACTCAGCACGCTCCACCTCACCCTCTTCCCTTGCTTCATCAGCTGCAGCCAGACAGTGCACTCACATGTATGAAGTTCTTAGAAGAACAGCCTGCACGTAGAGCAGTGAGAAGAGGCCTGAAGTGCAAAGCTGGCAGTCTCGAGGAGCCATGAGGACAATCCAGCTCATCTGTGTGTCCATGCATGAAGAAACGTGCCTTGGCGTTGCTGGGAACTGAGGCATGTGCAGAAGGCTCATTATTGCTCCTCAGAAAAGCTGAATTATCTCCTAGAGCTGGAGATGGACAGTTGCACGGGCTCCATGGCATTATGTATGGTTGGATTTTTGCTGGTTTGTTCTCTGCTGTGCTGTGCTGCCTGTAATCGTGTTTTAGTTGTTTAACATCATCCAAACAGCAGCCCTGGGGCAGCGGAGGTGGCTTAATGCTGCCAATGGAGCATGCAGATGGAAAGTGGAGAGGAGAAGGACAGAATGAATTGCTCTGGGAAGAAGAACAACGACTCCAGGCAGGGAGGTGTCCTGCTGGTTCATGAGGAAATCTGAAAGTTGAAAATAGTAAAAAAGGGCAAAAGAATACAGCTGTTCTTCTACCGGAAAGCACCACACCTGGGGGAACTGAAAGTGCTGTGGAATGGAAGATGAAAAGCATCAGTATTCCTGTCCTCCCTCCTGGTTTTATGTAGTTATTGGGGGATGATGTTTCTAAGTTGTCACTGCAGTGCCTGGTGCTGCTCTGGTAGTGCTCTGATGAGGTCCCAGCAGTGGGTGTCTGCCCTGATGCCCGCAGTAGAGAGGAGGGCTTTGCCAGCCATGGGTTTGTTTTTGCCCTCAGCCTGAGATCTTGGCCTTGAGTCTGGGTGAACTTTTGCTGCTGAAAGAAATGGGATTTACCTCTGTATGTGGCTTCTTGTCCTGAGGTGCATCTTGGCACTGTTCTGCTCTTCCTGGGGCTAGTGAGCTTGCAGGATGGGTGTGGGGGAACTCAGAAGACCTTTCAGCCGTATTTCAAGAGCACTGGTGTTTCATATCCGCTGCATTCATTGGGGTTAATTAAAGTCTGTGCTTTATGGGTTGCCCTTGGCCATAAACGGAAAAAAATCTGACTCAATTGACAGAGTAATCTTTAAGCTCACTTATTTTATTAGATATAGAGTCCTAATTTGAAGAAATTGAGGAGCCATAACTGATGGTTCTGGGGAGGCCCTGAGAGATCTTTGCTCTTGGCTGCAGAGTATTGGAGGGGACATGGGGCCAAACCTTGCCCAATGCTCAGCCTTCCTGGGCAGCACAGAGGTCTCTGGGTGATATTTGTGCATTTGAGAACCTTTCTGAGTCGTGCCATAGCAGCCTGCACTTAGCTATGTCCACAGACATGGTGTGTTGAGTCCCACAGTACAGGAAGCAGAACAGTGAGCAGAATGGCCAGCTGATGGCCAGCACACATTGTAGACATCTGCCCAATGTGCCAAAATGAGCTGCATGTGGATTTTTAGAGTACCTAATGCCTACTGGAGTCCACAGACCATATTGGATAGTGGCGAGGCTGGGAGCAGGAAGGCTGGGATTCTGCCTTCAAACTATTCCCACTGCTCCTATGTTCCCACTGGAATAATCCATGATGAATCAGACAGCTCTGCTGATGTTTCACAAGGGTACTACAGGCCCCTTGCACATGTTTTTGGCCATGCTAGTGACTAGAAAGTGTCAAGCAGGTGTTTTGGACAAATACAATAGCTAGTGATTTGCAGCAAGCCCTTTTCTCTCCCCTCACCATCTGCAAGAAGGAGTAGTTTCCTGCACTCCTCAGCACATCTGCAGGACCTGGTCCTCCCCTGCCTACCATGCCTGGAGCACCTGATGCCTGGGCTCATAGCAATGTGCTCAGCTCACCCTGTGCCACAGCAGTGCAGCGCAGTGGCCATCTCTGGTGCTAGGCACAGGTAATGAACTGCATTTCTGCAAAGAGAAAAAGTAGAGCCTTTTAATACGGATAATAACTTTTAATAGGAAGTTGTTTTCTCTTCTTGACACATCATAGAGGTAATGAACAAATTTTACACATACACATATTTTTTGTAATGTTTCTCTGGTCTTTTCTACTGTCCTCTCAGTAGGATGCAACATGCTACAAAAATATTTTAAAATCAACATGAAAATGCACAATGATTGCTTTCTTTCTTCATTGGAAACTTCAGCAATCAGGAATCTGAATAGATGCAGATGCTATCTGGTATATTTTAGGCAACCTGACCCTTCTAAAGGTTGCTCTAGAGCAGAGGAGTTTTCTACTTGCTTTAGAAAGGTACAAAACTCCTCTGCTCTGGAGTAACCCAAGTGACCCAGGAGCACCCAAACAGACCATGGAAGTTCAGCTGCAGCATAGAGCGCCCTTGTTCTTTTCTCAACTTTTACAAAACTTCATCAAAATTTCTCTTGGTGCTGCTAAGACAGAGGATTAGATCTATCACTGATGAAATAAGAGCAACAGTCAAAAGCAGGGAAATGAACACTTTATCTGTCATAACTAACAAAACCATTTAATCTTTTCCCATACTACTAGTTAAGTTTTCTCAACCCACAGAGGGAAACTGGAGAGAGAAGTTTCCTCAAAAGCACTGTATCAATGGTATCACAACTCAAATTGCTGGCCTGGCTCTCAGCCCCACACTTACACCACCAACTGTCTCCTTTCCTTTCCCCAACACAACGATGGAGCTTCTCAGCACACTGCCAGAGCCAGTGGACTGAGGCTGAGCAGATGCTCACATTAATATAATTTTTGAACATTTACAGTTCTAGCAGAGTAGGATACATGCAGGTAGAAGCACTACTTGATATTTTTGCAGCATCAGCTCTGTACAGATTAAGAGTCTGTAATCATCACTTGAAATACTCCTTAAACTTCCAGAGTTATTCGGTAGCCAACAGGAATCTCATGCATTACTCCAAATACAGGGTTCAGCTGCACAACTGCTTTTCCTCCTGATCCCTACCGTGCACCTCAGCTTGCAGAGGAGTCATTCACAGCATGCATAGTGCATTGGCTAGCCAAGGAACAGGAGAAAATTAACCGTGTTGCCTGCTACATCACAAGGACCATATTCAGCAATTTAAAGAACTTCAAAAAACAAAAACGCAAACATCAGTGCAAAGCATATTCCCCCCCTTTACAGAAATAAAGCATGCACTTCAGTATTTCACCCAGGCATCCCATCCTGTAAACATTTATGACAAGTAAAGCATGTGCTTCAGTGGGGAGTCTCCAGGAAATCACTGAATTAACTTTCATTGTGACAGTTGGCCCAGTAATGTTTCAAGGGTCAGGCCAAGTTTGTATTTTGCTACATACAATTAAAAAAACCTTAAATACCATAAGTTCAACAAAGTATGCTAACATATTCCTTCCTGTATGTGCAGAAGATTCTTGTAATAATGACTATGCAAACACCCTCTTCAACCTTCTTGAGAGTTTTCCTGCTTCTACTATATGAGAACATAATAAATACATATGATATACCAGTTATTAAGCCATCAAAAAAGCACGTTGTTCCAGAAAGGACAGGAGGCACTTGAGGCTTAGGAGTCAAGGGCTGGTCATTAGCACAAGTGTCCTGCCTGGCAAAAAGCTTCAGCTGCTGCACAGTTCCTGTGGCATTGCAACCTTGGTGGGAAGTCCTTAAACCAGGCTGCTTCACATCTGAAATAACAATGGTATCTCAAGATTATTGTTCCAGGTAAGACGGCTCAGGAATGTAATACGTGGAAGTGAGCAATACAGAGTAAATCCAACATGGAACAGATAACAGGGACTAAGTCCTTTTCAAGCCATGCCATTCTATGTTTCTATGATTCTATGAACCAGGAGATTGTTCTGCATCCAACAGAGTCAGCTCTGGGTTTTTAGAAATGTAGCGACATTACATTCTGATGTTCTGATTCAAGGGACAGATTTCACTTGTTTTATCCTTGCTGTTTGCATCAGGAAAGCTCAGTTTGGGCATTCCTGAGAACAAGCTGAAAAATTCAAAGATGTCTCTCTGTGTTTCTAGTCAATCACATCTGTCTAAGTGGAGGATGATAGCACATGTTCTAGGGGACTCCATCCTGCAGTGATGGTGCGAGGCTGGGCTTCGTCTGGACCCAACACAGTTACCTCTGCCCACTCCCTCCCATGATATGCTCTGACACCTATTTTCTCAGGACAACCTTCCCTTTTTCTTTCCCTTCAAGAGAAGCAACTCTTTGGGAAACAGACTGATTGTGGTGCTTGGGAAAGCTTCACAGATGAAGGAAGATGTAGCACCCATATCTTTAACAGCAGATTTTATAGGTGCTCTAACTGTCCTTGCCCTTGTATGTGTAACAGCTTTGTTCAACACTTGCCAGTTCTGCATACTGGCAGTCACAAAGTTTAAGGCAATAAACTGTTTCAATAAGAGTATTTGCTTTTGCACAGTGTGGAACAGCTACAGCCCTGAAACCAGCTACAGTCATGAAACCGAAGGTGCTGAATGTGTAAGTTCCTTTCTTGTGGGCAATTGCCTTAAAAAATTTACTTCTTTTTGTAATTTCCTTTACAAAAAGGAAATTTTACTAGGAAATTACAACCAGGGAATGAGCAGTTACAGCCACATGTTAAGTCCATCAAAGTCAACCTCTGTGATGGCAGCTTCTTCAGCTGCCACGGACTTCTGCAGCCTTGGTTTGCCCAGGGCTCTTGCTCTGGATGGACTGTGCAAGCTGAGCTTTAAGTCATTGCTCACCTTGTTTTGTATTTTTAACCCTGTTTAGTTATATGGCACAATACCAAGACCAACAAGTGTTATCCAGACTAACAGGTACTAATATTACAGAACTTGAGACAAAAGTAAGAAACTTACATATTTATTGCTGAAGTTTGAAGAGGAATCATCACACTGTCGAGCTTTACTCTTCCCCTGAGATGAATTTTCTCCTAAATAACAGAAAAAATGTTTTACATCAGTTAAACATACAGGGAGAGGACTAATGAGTCCAGCAGCAGCACATCACTGACCACTGCATACACCAGCCTGTCTCCTTGTTGGGCCTAGGCAGCAAAAAATTGTCACATAGTAGATCTTCATTGCTCCCTGGTTCTCATAGGGTATTCTCATATGTATTCTCCCTACAATTTGGTCTCAGTGGTGTGTTACTACCACAATAAACTTCACTGAGAAGCACTGAATATTGTTCAACAATAATGTGGTGGAATGTGCTCACTTCCCAAGTGTTCAATTTTGGATAAAATTATTTCAAAACACATTATAAAGTGCTGCTAAGTTAGTGCTTCAGAAGTTCTGATGATATTAAATTCCAATTAAAAAGGCCTTCAGCAACTACTTCAATAATTCATATGAAATTTTAAGAGAAAGTATAAGTTTCTGGTAGAAAGAAAAAAGAAACATTTCAACAAGATTGATATATTTTACCATGGGGAAGAAAATATTCACTGGTTGTAATAAATATCAATAATGTGCTATCAGTTGCACTCTCAGGTGCTGGGCTTTGAGGCAGACTTTCATGGAAGACACATACTTTGCACAGAGGGAAAGCAACATGTCTAAGGACATCTCCCCAGATATGTACCCCCGTTGATGTCAATAGGCTTTGGATCAGAGCATAAAATGAGTGAGTCCCATGCTGCTGCAAAGTCTGTGTGGGTTTTCTAGTGCTAAACACATAAGCTCAAGGGCAGAGTGAGCTGCTCAACTATTGCTGTGGTCAGCATCTCTCTGTACTGTCAGTGACTGTCTGATGGAAGGCTCTGGGACTGCAAACGTGTCTGAAGGTATCTGCATTATGGTGTCTACAATAATTAGTGCCAATAAACCACCAGGTGATGAAGACAGAATGATGATGCACTGAGGAGGAAATAATCACATAGATGTTCCCTGATCAGGAGTATCATGGGTAACAAACAGTTTTAGGTATGTGACTGCAGTATGCCTTGAGACCACACGGAGAAGCATCTAGGACAGTTTTGGAGTTTAATGGCTCAGTGCCTTAATTCTGTGCTAAATATCCAGCTGCATCACAAAGAGCAAATTAAGAACAACATTCAGGTTAGTTGCAAGTGGGAAGACGTTTTTATTGATCTCAAAATAGCTGTAAGCGACAGAAATAAATGCCAAGACTGCTGAAAACTTAACTTGCCACCAAAACCATCCCTCATTAAAGACAATGGATTAGACCTTGTTTCCCATGAAGGAAATGAAAACCATTTTGTTCAGTGTTTTCCTAGAACAGATGATATTTAAGCTGATCAAAGGAATAATTTCCCACTGAACTGTGTGGCCAAAGGAGAAAATATGTTGCATGATGGCAACTCTCAACCAGTGTAGGTAGATTACTTGCATGTTTTGAAGGCTGTGATGAGAGAGAAGGGGTGTACAGAAATCATCAGACACCAGAAACAGTGGAAAATTAGATTGTGTTAATTTTGGGTTATGCATCTAGTTGAAGGGTGACACACACAAACTCTAGTGCTGCAAACTAGATGGAAAGTATCAAGAGAGACTCGAACCACCAGCTTCTCTCAGTATTGCTATACAGCATCTTATATCTAGTGTCACTTGATTCAATTTTGTATGTATTATGGCAATAACTGACTTGTGGTAAGGTACTGGAAGAACATGTTGACAAAAGAAGCTGGAGATGTTCAGGAGCAGGCTGGATGGGGCCCTGGTGTAAGCAGGAGGTGTCCCTGCCCACAGAAGACGAGTTGGAACTCTTAGGTGGTCTACAGGGTCCCTTCCAAGCCAAACCACTCTATGATACTATGATAAGGGGTTGAAAGACCACTGCATATTTGTCTGTTCTGCTAAGTCAACAAGTAACTGGGAGATGAAGAGACCCAGAAGAAATTGGCCTGCACAGTGACCAAGCGGTGCTGGCTAGGGAGCTATGACTGCAATGCGACCCAAGTTACCTGCAGTCCTGCCTCGACTGTGGGGCTTCTCCTGCTGGAGGAGGAGCTGTGAGCTCAGAGAGGTTGGCAGAGGGCAGGGAGAAGCCAACCTCAAATATATCCCGCGCTTCTACAAAAACTGAAAGACATGATGCACAGGTTGAGAAAGAAGCCTCTGACAGAACATTTGGAAAATGAAATTAGACTGATACCAACATGTAAGTTTTTGTGGGCAGGTAATCATTGAATCATTCTATCAAACCTTTTACTCTCTCTCTCATCCTCCAGTGTTGCATCTGCTTGTTGATTTTTGTCTGAAACTAGATTGTAAACACAAAGACACAGGCACTGTGCACATTAGCGTAATACAACAGACAGAATTGCAGTTAAACTGTCTAACTTACTGCCACAGGATGCTGTAGATGCCAAAGGGGATAGGGCAAAGTAATGGAAGTAAAAACCACCGAGTACTATTTGACATACAACCTCTGGTTTAGAAGTGCTACAAGGATGAAACAGAAGATGCATCCATGTGCCTCTGCCCTGTTTCTCATCTTTCCTAGACATCTTGTGCCAGCTGTTGTCAAAAATGGGGATTGCATATGTACAGCCTCCCATGACAGCATCCACAGGATACTTCCCCTGGAGAGACTCAGCAGTAGATTCCCAAAGGAAGCTTCTGGGTTCAGCACTGGGCACAACAGAATGCACTCTGCACATGTCTTACTCCAATAAGTCTCTCTTCAACAGAAGGAGGATGGGAAAGAGTGACTAGGGATTGTTTTGGTCTTTGTAGCTTTTGACTCTTCAGTGTATTTGTTCTGGGTGCATGGAAAGTAGACAGCAAGTGGATACTGAGGCCTCTGTGAAGTTCCAGATTTAACCAGGAAAGTAAAAGCACCCCAATGAAAATGCAAGGCTTTCTGATGGATTAAAATTCACTTGTGTGGTATTTGGTGTTTTTTTTTACTCTATGACTATGTTGCATCCTGATACTAGTGTATGTGATTAATTAGTGAGCATATAGCCAGATGAAAGTACAGAGTGTATAAGGTCAGTTTTGAAACTCTGAAACAAACACTTCTTTGTTTCACTTTTGCAGCAGGCTGTTATACTAATCCTCTATTTTTTATTTTTTTTCTTATTCATTCAGAATCTGAATATATTATTTAGAATACATATACACTGTAGAACAGGGTGATGAATGAGAGTTAACAGGTCATATTGTCACGAGTATAGAAAGACTCTGACCTAAGCAAAGCCAACTCTGACTTTTGTGGGAAGGCTGGAAGAAAAAAGGGATATAAAAATAGACTTTGACGTAAAAAATAAGTTGTACTGCATCTCAGATTACACTGTCTCTAAGAAAGAAAGGACTTGCATTGCTATTTCACTATAATATCTGCTGCTGATAAATCTCTCATAAGTTGCAGTCTGTTTCAAAGCAAAGAATTAAAGAAAGCATTCTGAAGAAAAGACAATTGAAGAGACTTACTTTTTCATAAAATATGAAACTACTGCTGTAGACGCAGTAACTAAAATGTTTGTCTTGACCATGCAGAGACGCAACCAGTGATACAGGAGGGCAGTGGTGAATGGGACCCAGTGCTCAGCTGCACCCATGACCCCAGCATCATCTGCAAACTCCCTCAGCAGGATTGAGGAACATCACAGAAAGCAGTTTGGAAAGCTAGCAAATGCTCCACAGACACAAACATCATCAAATCCTCAGCAGCCTCTGATTGTACAGCTGCTTGGAAAGCCCTTGCAAATTGCATAGCTCAGAAACTGAGTTAGAAGTGCAACCACAGCTGAATTTCATGATATTTAATATTTTTACTGTATTTTTTGTCCCAGATTCTCAGCTGGAATGTGTGCAACCAGAGCTTTGTAGTGCAAGTAAACATACACTGAATCAAGCCATGAGAAGTAAAAAGCTGGGAAAGTTTATTCTTCTGTTTTTTTCTATAATGAAAGATACTACAAGTTCAGATCATTATACAATACAAAGTTCAAAATGTCAAGTATGAGAAAATAAGAAAGAAGGAAAGGGAAGCAGGTACTTGCTCTAACTCTTTGATGGTGGAGGACAGTTTTTCTATGAAGCAGCTTCTCGGTGTTCTACCTGCCAGGAAAAAAAAAATAGGACACAGAATATTACTCACAAAAGGTAAAATAAATAAACAAAATAATATCCCCAAACTAGAAAGAATGTCAGTTCTTACCACTCACAAGCATGCAGCATATTGGCAGGCCCTCTTCTGACCTGCTCTGCTTATCTGGCAAGGGAAAGGAGGTTGCAAGGAAAGCTTCAGTGACACAGACACAGCTGGATGCGTGCACCTGGACAAAATGAGAGAGACATGAAACTACCAGCAGATGTGAAGAAACCCCATGGTGGCGTCATGCTCTACACAGCCCAACTCCATCTGACAGAAGCAAGCTTGCCTGGGTTGAGCCCCTAATGAGGCAAAAACAAAAATGCCTTACCTCCTTAAAAGCCATGGTCCATGCTTGGATGTGCTCAGCGTAAGAGAAATCGAAGAGGAATAATCTGCAACAGCTCCAGATTTGTTCCATTATATTGCAGTCAAATGAATTATTTGATGTATGAGACAGCATAATTAAACATTCTCAGCATTTGGAAATTTATGGAAAACAGTGCTGAAGGTGCCGTCATTCAGCCTCATCATCTCAGAAGGCCACAGGATTTTCCAGGTCCAAACTCTAACAACACAGTGGGATGTTTCATCACATGCTGAACTTCATGTGCATTTCCATGGCCAAAGCAATTTCTTGTGCTGAACAAGAAGAGGGCTTTTTAATTTGTTCTGTGATGATTTCAGCACTCAGCCACCTTCTGCTACAATGGCAGGTTAGGAAGCAGTAGCTTTTGGAAGAGGTAATGATCACATGGGAATGCTAGTTGATTTACATCCTCAGTTCATTCTATTTCGCACTGTACTTTCATCAGAGTACACCTCTGCAGAATGACTGCCTTCTCCAGAGTGATTACAATAAGCTAGAGGTCTTTTGCATGTGACAGGCCAGGCCTCTTCTCAAGTATCCATGGTTTCCTGGAATATTTTCTCAGCTTCGCTTATTAGCAATTCCTGAATTTTCATTTGTGTCCACAGTTGGTGTCTTGGGAAATGCTTCTAAATACAGTTCACCAAAATATAAGCCATATCAGCTTTAGCACACTTTTAATATCCTTCCAGAACATGCAACGCAGAACAGACAACACCTCTGAAAACCAAGAAAGGCACATCCTACCCTGCTATCGTAAACAGGCACACATGGATTAGAAATTGCCCTCATGGATCACGCTATGCTTAGGCACCAGAACTACTACTAACAACTTCAAAATATTGTCACCTGCCACATTTCTGTGAGACCAGACAACGAATAATGAACTTGTGAACTGCCCTTAATGCATTTTAGAATGGATACTCCAAGCAAAGGCCAGAAAAGAAACTTGTCAAATCATTACTCAGGTATCAATATTTCAATTACACATCATTCATATATATGGAGTAGCCTTAGTCCAATTTCTATTCCTCAGTCCTCAGCCTTCCTGTTACTCAGGAACTTCTGGTTGTGGGTTTTTTTTTTTTTGTTTTTTTTTTTTGTGATCAATATCTACGCTGGTTTTCAGTGAAATATGCAAAAACTATCACAGTGAAAGCAAGGAATGCTTTCACGATAGGCATTTTATCACTAACACCATGTATGATGGTTTTTAGCTCTTAGCCATCACATAAAAACCTTCATCTTATATTCACAGCAATATTTCTACCACTTGCAGGTCTGTGGGCTATACTGAATTCCCAAATAATAAATACTTTTGCAGGTAGATTTTTTTGGAGCTCTATATTGTGTAAGATCATTTATTTTCCCTAGGAAAAGCTGACCTAAATTTGCCTATACACTCAACTAAGAATGACTGTAGTAAGTCCTGTGCTTGCACATCAGTGCAAAACTTTCAAAACAATTCAGTATCCTAAGCATTTATATCCAAGCTGAGTTTTCACATAAGTTGCATGTACAGTCACTTATCTTGCACAAAGTGCTGCAATTTACTGCCAAATATGCATGAAAAATTCAAAGTGTTTGATTTTGTCTCCTTGTTTTTTTGCTTTAGATTGCTTCTTAATAAGTAGTGCCTTAGAGCTCATAGCTATCAGGAAGTCATCTTTCTAACAAGAGTTTTTAAAAATAAGAGTGATAAAGCTCACTTTTTACCTGGTGCCCCTGATGATATTGCTCCATTAAAATACATTACTTCGGCCCAGTCTTAATTTAACACTGTTCTTTTCCTGTATTCTTTCACATTAATTGTAGGTATTTGAAATAATAGACTTGATTAAATTTAATTCACCTACACTTCTGAAAAAGGAGCCCTTCTTTTAATGTATGAAAAATAGAAAATTAGGTTCTGACAGATTCCTAAGATAGGATTCTTCAGTAGTCAGTGGACCTCTGAAGATCAGCTAAGTCCAGATCAAGACCCATGTCCAAGACAGATAGGATAAATCGCCTTTTGGACATATATCTCTTTTATGACTGGCTTTTAAGTGCAACTGGATCAGTTGTTTAGGTGTATAAATCAAGAGAAGACCAAATTCAATACAAGCTTTGCTCAGGACATGCCATGCATATCACCAACACAGGATTTTTCTAGGTTACCTGTCTGAGAGGAGTTGCTGGTTGTATACTTACATGTTTTATAGATAAGATTTTTCTAAACATTTTTGTAACAATTGCACAGTCACAAAATCTTCTGTTTGGAAGAACAGAAGTAAAAATTAAAAAGTATAGATTAAAATAAAACCTCATTTGAATATATGTGAAAGCAGAACTTTGTTATATGCATGCTCAGGTTCAGGTGATTGGACAGCCTATTGACAGCAGGAAGATGCTAACGGTCTGACTATAAGCCTGAGGCTTCTTCTGAGAGATTTCTCCTATTAGTCAAGACATTTTATAATTTAGTTTGCACATGCAACCAGAGGCCACTATAACTTGCTTACTGAACAGTTGAATTCCCCCTTCAGTTGACCTGGCTTTTACACATCTAGAAATGAAAATGAACATGTAGAGAAGTGATTGTTTCAAAGTTGTAAGAGAGACCAAATGAGTCAGGCATTTCCACGCTTTGTTGTGCCTGTACAAGAAGTGTTTGCCTTAACCCTGAGATTTTAACAAAGCAAGTAAGTCTTATTCATGTGGGCAGGCACCCCAACATATTTGAAGATATCTGTATGAGTGAGAAATATTTCTGGAGGAAACAGGTCTTTCTTTCTGAGTGTTTTTAATTTTAGAAGTTGAGCGTTTCTCCAAAGCTAGAGAAGAGCAGGACTTCAATTTCAGTGAAAGCATGTTTAATTTTGAAACCTGTAAAGCTGTTAGGATTCAAGAGAAAGTGGTAGCTGTTTTAAATATGAATTGTATTAGTGAGAAGAGGGCAAGAATCTTGTCTTGTACGTGGCTATGAGTCATACCTTCCAATTATAACATGCATACATCACACTTCAGTAAAGAAGAAAATCAAGCATCCTCTGGCTGGAAGAAATTCAGACACTTGCTAAGTCAGCAGCTGATTAACAGCATCAGACCTCATCTTGTGAAGAACAATGTGCCTGGGTCCTGCCTCATTTACACTCTGCAAAACATGATGACTGCTGCTGCTGAAGTTACTTTCTTGTTGAAAGTTGTATGAGGGCAGAATCTGTCAAAAAATGTCTATGAATCCCAGTCTCAGACTTCACTCAGATTTCAAAAAGAAAGTTATGATTTTAATGTAAACATGCCCACAGCTCCATACCTCTTAAAACAGAAAAACATCCATTCTCAAAGACATATAATGTAAAAATAATTTCCTGAATCACAAGGCTGAATTGCAGTCACTTAAGTGTCAGAGCATTATTTACATTTGTGTCACAGGGAATTTCCCATCAAGGATTTAGAAGAAGAGAAAAACAGCTATTGGGCAACCTCTGAAATGTCACTGGGGGAAGCAGAAACCTTAAAAAGTTGGATAAAGTAAGAGTGTTGTTCCTGGAGGACTTCTATAGGGACGGTGGGAAGAAAAGTAGGACTAGGTAGCAGACAAAGTGAGTTACCATATGTTTAACAATAAGAAGAATAACCATGAGAAGTTAAATTTTTTTTTTTTTTTTAATAACTGGGAATCAGATTAGACAGAATTTTGTTCCACCTCAGTGCTATTTTGTTCTGCTCTGCTCTTGTAAAACCTATAGTAGCCTTCATCTCTTGCTTGTATTGGTGAGATTTTCATTTCTTTTTTGTACATCAACTGTAACCTTTACTCCTTTCAGCTTCTATTGCACACACATTTTGCAACAAACTGGATCAGTGAAGCACAGGAGAGAGTAGGACAAGACTAGAATTTTATGACAAGAGTAGGATTTTGAATACGCAGGGTGACTGGACACTAGGCTGCAGCACTTCCAGTCCTTTTGACTACTGGAATATTATCAATGGACAAACATCCTTGTCTACCCAAATCTATCTGATAAATATCACTACCTTGGTTATCCCTGAACATGCCTAGCTGTAGCTCACTTACTACTGAAGAGTTAAAAAGTGATTTTCCCTATAGCAGTTGTATTTCTCACTCTCAGACACTGACACTGCACACAGTGCAGCTGTGCTGCAGCTCTAGAGGCTCCCACCTGGCTGCTTTGCAGTGTGAGGGTACCCTTGCAGTGACTTCAACCTGAGAGGAAGTGAGGATGGTTTTGCTGTTGAAAATGACATCACCAAACACAATGACACAGACGAATCACTCACCAGTCTCAGCAGAAGTTGTCTTCACGGACAGAAGTTTGACACCTTCTTTATCTGACTGGGTCCTGTTGGTGACATGACATGAGGCACAGTGAGCATGCAACTCTGGCACACTGCTTAGTTTAATACTACTCTAAGATCATGGTCTGGAGGCTTGAGATGGGTTTTATGGGTTGTTGTGCATGAGTCTTATTGATGGCAAACACCACACATCAGTGGCTCTGAAAAGACTCCCCTCTTAAAACGTGATAGATCAGTTCACACAACTCCAGGCTCAATTTGGTGCTTCCACAGAAGAAGTACATCCATGGAAAGAGAGGGATATATCTTTTCTTTCGGCCAATGCGGGGCGTATAGCTGTGTCGGACTGCAAGAAAAAGCAACTTAGATTTCAGGAAAGATGGGAATAGCAAGTAAACCACCTGCCCAAATGGTTTTGGTCATACAAAACAAAATCCAGACCTAACAGCCTTTGGTATGTATCTTCATTTCACTCTCATACTTATGCCAATACTATTTTCACAGAATCACAGAATGTCAGGGTTTGGAAAGGACCTCGAAAGATCATCTAGTCCAATTCTCCTGCTGGAGTAGGAACACCTAGATTAGGCCACTCAGGAATGCATACAGGTGGGTTTTGAAAGTCTCCAGAGTAGGAGACTCCACAAACTCTCTGGGCATTTTAACAGAGGCTCTGCAAATGGACAGGTGGAGAGAAGATGGGACAGAAGAATATGTAGTGATGGAGAACGGAGAGGAACAAAGAATAAAAGGAAAGAAATAAAAAGGAAAGGGAAGGGAAGGTGAAGGGGGAGAAATTAAGTGGGTACAGCACAAGGTATTTATTCTTTCCAAAAGGATCCCTTGCAAGGCAGTTGCACATTTCTGTCCATGTTATAATGCATACAGGTATACAATAACTGCAAGCATGTTGCTTTCAGCAACATTGTTCTCTTTAGATAGCAACTGCTTGTTATGTTTAAGCAGAGAAAGGTGAGAGAATCACATGCAGAATTTGCTGCACTCACAAGTGCCCTCCAACAGATCTCATAGCAATGCAAAGAAAAAATTTGACTTACTGTTCAGTGCCGTTCTCTTGTCTGTCTGAAAAAAGGAACAGAGTTAGGGTCATTTGAGCTCAGTCAAGCAAAACATTTAGACACAGCTATTGCTGCTGCTAGCAGAAGGCTTAGTTGTGATTTTATAGTGTTTAATTAAGTATGTTAAGAAAACCAGACTGGATGGTAACTGTCAGTTCTCTAGCTCATCCTCCCAAAAGATCACCCTGCTGACATGGTTTTTGAGCACGAAACAACTTATCCAGAACGCAGGGTGGGGGGACACAAACAGCCTGTGTGCTGCAATGGGGTTTGCCCAACTAGCAACTTAGCCTGTCATCTCAGTCAGTGAGGAAGGGAAACATCCACCAAACCTGTTTTCTCCTCACACCCAAGTGTGGGCAGATGGATGGGGTGGGACAACCTAGGATGCACAGAGCCAGCTCCCATACACAGATGGATGGCAGGTCACTGTTGCTGCCTCCTCTTGTTTTTAAGTTAATTTGCCAGTACTGTGAGCACTGGCATTTGTGTGTGGGGAGGCTGGCAAGAAAACAAACTTCACCTAATGTCTTTACCCTGAAAATTCAGTAATTTCCTAAACAGGCAGCACACCTCCTGCTTTTTGTTCTGTTCTGATTGCCATGCCATTGGCCAAGTTGGTTGCGATGCAGTTTGCCTTGCTCTACAGCTTCCACACCCCGCTGTGATTTTGTATACCAAGTCCCAGTGATTTCACTGCTGAGGCTCTGCACAGAGCTCCTAACTCATGCCAGCTGACTCACAGTCAGGACTCAGATATGTTTGGTTGTTATTTCACTTAATGGAAAATTGCACTCTCCTGTGGCCAGCTTTGGCAACTCTCTGAAATACCTGGCAAATGAGATCTAATGGAATTACATCCTCATTACCTTAAGTATTTCATGGACAGCAATGAAATTTATACTGGTTTTAGCTGATCTGTCAAAAGCAACCATTTCTGGAAGTACTGTTTGCTCAGCAATTTCGTACCCATGCATACACTGTAACCAAAAAATTTTACTCATGTATCAGGTATTTCCTAGAAGAAAGCACTGACGTTTCTTTGCTTTTATTTTGAACAGAGATAAAATGAACATCAAGAGATTGTGCTGAAAAGCATCTCCAAACTTATTTTCACCCTCTTTTTCTATACAACTGACTGATCATATTAGTGTAGCTGTTTTTTAGCTCTTTGCAGCTGCAAGAGGCGAAAACAAAAATCTTTACAGCATTATATATTCTCAAAAAAATCACAGATATTTTTGCTCCCTCTGTTCTTCCTATTGATTTTGAAAATGAAGAGCTGCTTTCCCACTTCAGGTAAAATACTCTGAAATGCAATGTTTCCTATCAGACTACTGCAGCATCTCTAGTTATAGTAATCTCAAAAGCCTCCAGAAATGTTTTAATAATAAGCACAGTGATATTTTTTCTTCCCTTTACTCAGAGCAGGTCAACCAAATACCTGGAGTTTTCTTCTGGCACACTCTGTACAAGGCCACAAGAGAGAAGGCGGAGAGGGTAATGACAATCAAGGCGATGACAATGGGCAGGATAACACCTGCAAGACATGCAGAACATCATGTTAATCTCTTATTTATCTCTGCCCAGGCACTCATGTACCAGGGTGAGAGGCTCCTGGCCCCAGCCCCCCTAACCCCATGGTGGTACTTTCACCCAGGCTTCAGCAGGTTCAGCACCTGCCCCAGTGGGACCTGTGTAGTCCTAATCAATGGTTGGATGCAAGGTTTGCCCCTGGTGTGGGTGGTCTTCAAGGTTTATAAAAACTACCCCATTGCAGAAATAATTTTTTTTATACTTGCAATTTTATTTTTATTTTTTTGAAAGAAAGACTTATCTGAAATTCAGTGACTAAAGCAATTATTTCTCTTTTAGCATCGAACACCCAGAAAGATACCAAGGAATTACATAATTCAGTAACATTCCCTGCAGCACTTACAACCGTGGATATAAAATGCAAGATCTTCTTTTTAAATGAGGTCCTTTCTACACTTTTATTATTTCCCACCATCTGCCGTTTCCTGACGGGTATTTCCCAGCCAAGAAGCAAAAGGAAAGAATTATGTCATGAAGAGAAGCTTTCCTGGGGAAACATCCAAGCCCAGCTTCTCTCCACTTATCTTTTTTTGTTGGCAGCAGTCAGCCATGTTTGGGTTTAGCCCCATGTCAACGAGGCTGCAGAGCCTCAGCATCCTCCCTCCTGCCGGCCCCATATTTTGAAATGGCATCTTCACTGATTCTTTATGCAATTAATGTTTAATATTCATATAAATGTGCATCTGCAGAACCAGAGGGAGAACTGAGAGATGAGTTCAGAGTAGAAAAACATCAAACGTATTATGCTGAGCTAGTGCTTTGGGTAGGAAATGGCAGATCTGCAGTTATACTCCTGCCCCAGAGACATGCAATTTTAGAATAAAGATTAAGTAACATGCACCATGCAAACAACAACTGCTTAAGCAATTCACAGAGGACTTTCTCCTAGTCCTTCTCTCTCACCCTCTCATGACACTATGGACAACAAATTCATATAACATATTCATAAGAATATATTAATATAACAAGTATTCATAATGGTATGTAAATTATATTTTCACATTTCCATTTGTCTTCTCTTACAGAGTATGACTCCACTCACATTTTCTTCTTTTTTTTTTTTATTTTATCACTTTGACTTCAGTCCTTGGGGATAATCATTCTGCTTTTCAGCGGGAGAGGTGTCAACTTGCTGATGAGTTTGCAAGAGGCCCTATGGCCTGGTACAGACAAATAACACTGTCTAATTTGTTTCTTTGCAACTCCAAGCACGCATCGAAAGCCATGTTCATCTACTGAAAACTGAGAAGATGGACAACAAAGTAGTAACACTCACTAGAGTAATGGATAGTATCCTCCAATGCTTTCGTTTTTTCGGAACTGTTTCCAGTACTGCCAGAATCTAGATTTGCAGAAGAAATATTGCTTTCAGATCAACATATAAGTACCAGAATTTCTCTAGACAACTTCCCCTATACCCCAGAAAAATTACCTTCCCCACACACCTTTGATGTCAGCAGTTCTGGAGCCATGATGTGCTCCACAGCTATAAGTCTCCTAAGTAGCACTTGGATAATTTGGCATGAGGGGTGGAAAAGCCTTAGGACAAACTCACACTTTCTTTGGACTGTTATACAGATGTCTTCTCTGGGATCATCTGCTTGCCCACTTACCATCATTCCTTTAGGAGGTTAAGGTACTGATCAACATCAGCAACTTCTCTTAACAAGCAAGTAAATAAACAAGTGTGTGAAAATAAACCTGCCCTCAAAAGATGAAGAACCAAAATATCTCACTGCTAATAATAAAGAACACTAATGGTAGATGAAGAAGTCCAAAGGGGGGTAATACGAGTAGCTGAACATTTTCTTGACAGTTGAGTGTGACAATGTGATGTGTGCTTGTTCTCCCACATCTGGGGAGAGCAGGAACTGTCCGAGCCTCTGGAGCATTTTTAACAGGAATGCATTTCTGCCTTTAGGCGCTAATCTGAACTGGAGTTGGGTATCAGCTATCCAAGATATCCATCAAAGTTGTAATGCAAGGCAGACAGCTCCTATTGCTCATGCATCGAAACCAGTGTGGTTGCATTGCTCTTCCAAAGGATAGAAGGGGCTCAGCTTGCTGGGTGGAGGCTGACATTAACTGAGCCACTACAATTAACTCCTCAGGGCCATTTTGAGGACTGAAACACAATTTTGATTTGCTAAACTTCCAAATTACAGGTGCATTTGTTTTACAGAATCTTTCAAGTAGGCAACATTTGTTAACTTTCATGTGCAGAATTAGAATAACAAATAGTGACTTGTTGGTCCCAAATCCATAGGTCTCCTTCTTTCTTCATTGATTTGGAACTCAGGTCCAGTATATTTAAACATTTTGTTGATGGCTTTTTCTCCATTATTCTCCTTTTGCCCATATTCCCATGCTCATAACATCCTGATCCACTCCAATATGTATGAGCATGTTGTCTCCTGACGTAAGAGAAGTAAAGCAGAGAAAAGCCAAGGGCCAGCTCTTTCAGTAGAGATGCTAGTATATTGGTTTTCCAGATGCCTATAAGCCAGGTGATTCTAACTTAAAACACTGTGTGGATGCAGTATGGTGTCTATACAACATAGCCCTAACTGAGGCAGTTAGATGCTATATGCAGGAAACCATCACTGCCTGAGGCCCTTGTCCCTGAACATCCTACCATGTTTCTTTAAAGTTCTCCCTCCACTGTTGCCTGTGTGCTGAAAGGCAATTATGTGAGGAGGGAAATGGGAGCCATCATGAAGTAACAAATAATTCTTATGAATTCATGATTCTATGTGATTGCTTTGGATTTCCCAGGGAAATACAATTATCCTTTTCACTACCCGATCTGATAGACTGCAAGATACACAGGGCAGGCAGACAATTATCACAGCAGTGAGTTATTCTGGATACTGACTGAAAATGTCAACAGAAACAAATTACACCGAGAAATGTGAAAACGCGTCCCTGAACTTGTGCAGTATCTCCTCAGGAGAAAAATGGAGGGTTCAAAGGCATTGGCTATCTTCCTACTTGTCTATTAGATGACCAAGACATGAGTAATGCAGAGAAGACAAACCCAAAGGTTAGTCTTTTAACTATATATGGCTATCACTGAAGAAAAACAGTAGCTAAAAGGAAGCTCTATTAGATGAGTGAAATGGATTAAGGATTTAAAAACATTATCAGCATTATCCACTGAATTTTCCTCACAATTCAGCCCATCCTGCCCACTTTCTGGAAATGGAATCTGAAAGATGTTTTCCAGCTAGGGAAAGATCTGGAATCTGAATAGCAATCCATTACAACAACCAGGTTCTCTGATACAGGAAGACTTTGCCTTATGCTGAGACCTGTTGCTTCTAACCACAGGACATGGAAGGAGAGCCACTGACAAAATCTAGCTCCCTGGCAAACACTGTTTTTGTATTAATTCCTACTGCATCATTCAGTATTCTGCTAGTCTGTTTGCTCTGCCTCATGTACTGGTACCACACGACATTCACTTGCATTCACTGCAAAGTTACGCACTGCAGCAATTTGAGCATCCCTCGTCTCCTTCTATGTACTGTGCTTCAGGTTCCACCTGAGGTTCCACCTCCTCCTACCCTCTTCTTTCCCAGATATGTCCTTTCCCTCTTACCTGTTGGTATTGGCAGGGTGCTCACAGAAAGGTCTGAAAGAAAATGGAAGGAACAGATTTATTATTAACTGGTTTAGAGGTCCCTGCAAAAAGGAAAGCAAGGTCTTCATATTGTACAAACTGGCAGACTCCAGTGATGAGCCCAGTAACTGGACAAGAAACTCAAACAATTCTGAATTAACTTATACACTCTCCAAAAGCATCCTCCTGCCAAAGCCAAATAAGTGCCCTGGGGTGAAGAGCTGGTATTTAACTGACAAATCACTTCTGTAAGAAATAAATACCTAATTGAGCCACATCTTCAACTGTTGCTATCTCTCAGCAACAAATCTTCATTAATTACCCTGGTGCTCATGGCTAGTAGCCTGCTGAACGGTGGGAATGAAGCCTTACTAGTGAAGAAGAACTGGACCTTGCAGTGTCTTGTGTGCAAAGCTTATGATCTTGCTGCTGCAGCATTCTTCTTTCGAGTCAGAAGATCTGGGCACAGAACATCATGTTAGCATGCTGCTTGCCTGTATCTAGGCTGAGGCATGTGTGCTTGAATGCTACAAATGCTGTGAATATTTCACATCTGGAGGATAGAGAAACCTCACTCCCACAGTGACTTTAATGCCTTACATTAAATCTCCCCCATGATTAGTCTGAAGCCAAAAGAAGCCAGACACCTAACTCATCCCTGTCTTTGAAAACATCCATCTGTGTGAAATGGCAGCACAACACCTCTGTGCTTGCATGAAGCCAGCAAAAGGGATGGCCTGGGGACGCCTCTCAGTGATTGTGGATACCATGGAGGAAAATCCCCTAGGTGCTATGTCCTCAGCAGTTCCTCCTGCTCGTAGGTTCTCAGCACCATAAAACTCCCTCCATGCTCCTCTAAGGCTAGTTTCTGGCACATCACATTAGGTACATGGCTCATCTAACTCATCCTGAGAGCTCCTCAGGAGAACTTGTCCCATCATGGCGCTTCCTGTGCTTTGTAGAGACAGCTCTTGCAAGAGGAGCTGCAACATGGATTAAAGATGTTATTCTACTACTGTGAATGTTTGTTCACAGTAGTACAGCTGCTGTTGTTTCTCATCCTCTCTACGCTCAATTATAAACAGAGATCACTTGAGCCACTGGCATGCAAACAATCATTTTTGCTAATAATATGTGTGACAGAGCTTTAACAACACTTTAATTGCAAACATGCAAGAAAAGTTGAAAAGCCAAGTACATCAAGTTGGCAGTGAGAGATCTCCTTGAACATACTAAATATTGGCAATGCTAATTTAATCCTGACGGCACACTTATTGCATACTGGCTGATGAAAATTCAGGAGAGATGCTCTTCCTAAGCTATTTACCATCTTATCTATCCATCTGCACAGTGTCACCATGTTCAGGGAGGATATCTGTGATGGCTTATTAGGGGATGTTTACTGCATGTTTGGCAACATGAATGACAAGCGCCAAGGAAAGCCTTTCGGGAAGTTAATAGCTCTCCTGTCAAACAGAGGTGTACAGAAAGCTGCAGGACACCCATCTGCATCAAGGGAACATCCAAATGTGATATGATCAGCTGTTAGCTGTACCCCACCTTTCTCACAGAGAGTGAGATCCCTTGGAAAAAAATGTGAGCACTCAACAACATTTGAGCATGCAAATATACAATGATGTGGACGTTCACAGAGACAGGCAGAGGATCTTGTCACGCCTTTCAGGTAGGTCACGTCCCTTATAAAATGCCTGGCTTGCCCTCCCCATTCTGAGGGGAGCTGAACTTTCCTAAGAAAAACTCTGAAGATGTCAGCAAAACATTTTTCCTTAGCTTCACTCTTGTAAACAAAGTGAACTATCTTAACTCAGAAAGCAAACTTTTCTGATGACATAGCTGGGCACTGCTTTTCTAGGGGAGGAGGACAGAAAGGCAGACAGCCCTTTGCTTGCTCTGGTGTTTGCTGTATTGTTCTGCCCATCTGCTTGGCCCCTACACGTCCCTGAGGCTGTGAGCTGGGGGTGGGCGTTCTGCATAAAAAATCCAGGAAGATTTCCAAGACTCCTCACAAGAATTGAGGTGTACAACACTGGCCGTATGGTAAGGAGGAAAAAGATAAAGAGGCTGATGTATGAGAAGGTGATCTGACAATACCTGCCTGAGCAATGGCAGCACTGGTGAGGAGGCTGACAGATGGAGAGGGGCACCAGCAGCTCACCTCTCCCAGAGCTTTGCTACCCGAACAGCCTGTGCACCCTGCAGCTTGCTGCTTCTGCTTTTGGAAGGCAGCCACATGGATCTATGCTCGCTGGCAAAACAAGTGAATAAATTTGGCTGATTACTCAGATGGGATACCACAAGATAAATCACAGCAAAATTAAGAGTCTTAAAACACTCTCCTTGTCCTGACTGTTCTGTAGTTCTGTAATTGTGTTAGCTGAGGCTTCGTTATGTTTTCCAGCTCTCTGATGCTTCAGTTTGTGCCTCTCTCTGTGTGGAAAAGCTAAAGTTACAGTGAGCAGTTTTCACTTAATACCACTATCCAGCTTTCCTGTACAGTTTATCCACAGAAAGAGACAAACCCTCCTTGTCTTGCTCCGAGGGTTCTTTCTCAGCAAGATACCTCTGTGAATCAGGTAAGTAGGATTTATAATTTGAGGAGTGCAATAAAGGCATTGATAGATGCAGCAGGCTGATTCTCTTGACAGCTTATTATAATAGATTTTCTGATCTTACCAGCCTACTGGATGAACTTAAACTCATCCCACTTTATGGATTTTTTGTTGTTCAGGTCACAGAATAAAAAGTCAACTTGCAATTCCTCGCAAGTATTTAGACTCTGACAGATCCATTTAATCTCCACTTCTACACAAATTAAACAAAAGGAGAAAATGAAATATTAACAAGCAATCCTTTGCGGAGGTGGAGCAGGAGTAGGAGGCATGTGATACATGACAGCCAAAGTTGAAGAAGTGTACTTGTCAATGGCATGCATGCTGGTTGCTCTCTTTGCTAAAAACAGCTCCTCTTCCCTTCCCCAACCTAGGTGAGCCCCACTCAGCCCCTCCTCCGCAGCTGCTGGCTTCAATCCTTTGTAGTACAGTGATGCTGCTCTCTGATGTTTCTCCAAGCTCCTTCACAAGCTCCCCCCACTCGTTTCAGTTGCTCTCCAGCTCTCTGTGGCACTTCTCCCACACCCTGATCTTTTGATATGGCAGATTGGAAATTTCCTTTCAAAATGTACTTCTTTTTTTTTTTTTTTTTTTCTTTTTTTCCTTACAGTAAGAAAGGGGCTTTTCACAAAATTGGCATCTTTCCCCCCCAGTGAAAAATGGTCTCAAAGCTAAATATATTCTTTTGGTTTGAGATTAATCAGCTGAATTATTGTTGAGAAAACCAAATAGAAATGTTCTGTTTTGGGTGAATTTGACATTAATTTGTTTTTCCACACAGAGGATCTGGCTTAGGTGCCTTCAGCTTTTAAGCTGTGATCCCTTGAAGGTTGCATTGCACATACCACCCCTATTCCACTGAGCAAAAAGTACCCAGACCCTACAGATGATGAAATTTCACAGTGCTGCAAAGAAAGAATCTCATGGCAGCAAGAGTCAGCATTTCTTCTAGACTCAGTACACCCTGAAACAACTGACTTAATGCTTGCATTGCCTTAAAAGTTATTAGGGTGCAGCTTATGGCTTCCCTTGGCCCTGAGCAGCTGAACATATAATGAGAAATCTGCTTATAGGGAACCAGATTTGTTTTTTCCCTGAAGACTTCAATGTACACAGAAAATATGGAGCAGAAATGGTCTAAAGGCACATGCATTTGGGCTACCTAGCTCACTGGAGTGTGTAATGGGACTTCTTTAATATTTAATCTGCAAAAAAGCAACAAGGAACTGGTCAGTCCTGTGTGGAGGCAGGAAAGGTGTGAGGATGAAATCCCAGTGAAGGAGGAAGTGATTATGAAATGGCAACATTATGGGAAGTCAGCATACTGGCTATGCCAGTGACCTAGGCTGAATCCCCCAGGACAGATGGTCCCTTACTTCCTCAGCCAGGAAATTACAGTGCTGGCTCCTTGGGTAGTCCCTGAGCTAAAGATTTATTGGCTTTACAGTAAGCTGAGTAAGATGATGGCTGTCACAAATAGATGAAGAAAAGGATGTAAACATTTTTGGGTGTGTTTTAAATGAGAAATTGTACAAATAATATTACAGATAATTCAACAGATAGAATCCACAGACATATATGTGTTACAATTTCATTTTAACCTGGTCAATTTGCCTACTAGAAAGAATCTTTCATTAAAAATCCTGTAACTTATTGCTTTATTGCAGTGTACCAGTGGTAAGGTTCCCACACTGTGCATGTGTCTGCCAAAAGACATAAAATGTAACAGGGTAGCAATAGAATCACAGAATGGTTTTGGTTGGAAGGGACATGAAAGATCATCTAGTTCCAACTCCCTTCCATGGGCAGGGTTGCCAGAGGGGCTGCCCAGGACCCCATCCAACCTGGCCTTGAATTCTTCCAGGAATGGTGCATCCATAGTTTCTCTGGGCAGCCTGTGCCAGTGCCTCACTACCCTCTGAGTGAAAAAATTTCTTCCTAGTATCTAATCTAAATATTCCCTCTTTTAGTTTTAAACCATTCCCTCTTGTTCTATCACTATCAGACTGTGCAGAAAGTTCTTTGTCTTGTTTCTTAGATCCTTTTAAGCACTGGACTATAATGAGATCTCCTCAGAGCCTTCTCCAAGCTAAACACGCTCACCTCCCTCAACTTTTCTTCATGGCAGAAGAGCTCCAGCTCTCTGATCTTGCAGCCATCCTCTGGACCCACTCCAACAGCTCCATGTCTTTCTTATGCTGAGCACTCCAGACCTGAACTCTGTTCTCCAGACAGGGCCTCACCAGGGCACAGTAGAGGGAGACAATAACCACCCTCTCCCTGTTGGCCACCACTCTTTTGATGCAGCCCAGGATACTGTTGGCCTTCCAGTCTGCAAGAGCACACTGCCAGCTCAAGTCCAGCTTTTTATCTACCAGGACCTCCACCTCCTTTTCCACAGAAAATTAATTCTTCTCCCATATCACTCATATCTGGAATTATCCCCACCTCAGTGCACTTGGACTCGTTGAACTTCATTTGGATCAAGTGAGCCCAATTTTCAAGTTTTCCACGTCTCTCTGGATAGCATCTCTTGCTTCTATTATATCAACTGCACTTGATTTGGTGTCATCTGCAAACTTGCTGAGGGTGCACTCAATCCCACTATCTATGTAATTGATAAAAGTTTTGAAGAGTACTGGTCCCAAGATAGACACCTGGGGGCACACCACAGCCATTGATTACAACTCCCTGGCTGTAGCCATCTGGTCAATTCCTTATCCACTGTATAGACCACTCTTCAAATCCACCTAATCTCTAATACAGAGATAAGGACGTCCTGTGGGCCTGGGTCAGAGATCTTACAGGTCCACACAGATGACATTGGTCTGTCATCTGTTGCTATCTGATGCATCATAGAAGGTTACCAGATTGGTCGGGCACTATGTGTCCTTGGTGAAGCTGCGCTGACTGTCTCAAATAATCTATTTGCATTGCATGAGCCTTAACATTTCTTCCATGACTAAATACAACTCAAAACATATTTAATAAACACAGGTTTATTAAAATAATTAATGAGTCCTCTCTAAATTAATGGCCATAGCTTAAAAATGAAAAAAATCTCAATTTCCCTAGAATGCTTCTAAGCATTTTAGCATGTACTGATATTACTATACGTGCATATCCAATCCCATCCTCTATGAGAAGAATCACAGTAAACACCCATTCAACATGCTAAGTTTTAGCACAACAAAACATTATTGAGCACTCAGTTATCTCCTGCAAACACAGTCCAGGGAATTGTAAAGAGTCTCTTATCCCTCTGGAAATGTTAAACATTAATAATAATTGGGAAATGCAAACAAAGTCAATGTCCTTATTGGGCTTATGTATGTGTAGCTCAGAGTATTGAGTAAAAGCTCAAGAGACCTTGAGAAAACCTAAGTGATTCTTCAAAATCTAGGAAAATTAAGCCTGCTAGAAATCTAATAAATGATCACTCTCATTACCTGGCATCTACATTTGACACAGAGTTTCTTAGTGGATAAATACAACAAAACACATTCAGAAAAACAATAAAGGTAGACAGGCATTTGGAAGGACTGATATCTTTTTGACCTTGCATGTGACTGTATTGTAGTTTGAACAATGTCATTCAATTTGGTCATATGCTTTAGCACGCCCTACAGATTTATTAACAATTGTAAAAATTATAGCTGTTTTCTCCTTTGCTTTGCAGCCAGAGAATTTATCTCAATGACCTCCTCTGGCAGTCAGTGCTACACAATGACCACATACAGCATATATAAGGTTTCTATTATCTTAATTTATATCCTTCTGTAATGACATTGAGTTTCCTATGAATCTTTTGCAGTTTGTCCATCACTCATAACTTCTTAGCAGGGTGACATCGTACCCTGCATGAATAAAGAGGTAGCCCTCATTCTGGGACATTGCATGGCATATAAAGAAGATATTCAAAATCTTTTACATCTTCTGGACTATTTGTATGGGAAGATGAAATGTACGTTTTAAAGACATACCTGAGGTTCCAGGAGCAGTAGTATTTTCTTGTAAAGAGGTTGTAGGAGACAAAGTCCCTGTCTTAGTAGTCGTAGCACTCAAACTCTCATTTTGTGCAGACTGTGTTCCATTCACTTGCACAGCTGGAAACAAGACAGACATTTGGGTAAGACACACCAGTAGAAGGGTTGCATTAGATTTTGAGCCATCCCCTGGCAAACCCCCTCACCATCATAGAGGTGAGTTCAGGTCAGAAAGCACTATGCCTTCAGGTAAACCTTTGTCAAACACTGACCAAACCCCATGAGGTTGCTAGGACTGACGTAGCTTAGGCATCTTTAAATCACATCCTTAGCACCCAACAGCCTCCTGCCTGTGCCAGAAGACAACACTGATTTTGGAGACCAGTCTGATGGGGTAGATAGCTTCCTGCTTTCTATCACTTACCTTCATTTACAAAAAATAATAAATCACATACAAGCTTCTGCCACAACTGTCACATAATGGTAATGAGATACTTTATAAAGTTCTAAGGATTGTAATTAAGTGTAGAGTTAATTACTTCATTCTGTGCTGTTAAGGTCTGAGAAATAATATATCCCTGAAAATTAGCATATGAAAAACAAGTGCCTTTTTGCTGCCCTCCCTCACAGTCAGTAGAGGATTGAGGCCATGAGATTTGTCCATGACACTGTCCAGGGTGAGTCCAGACACAGGCAGTGTCTGGCCATGAAAACAAGGATGACAACAGCCATGCAGAAGAGTTCAAGCTGCTACAGCACAGCAGGTGATTTCTGTGTCCATCCTCAGAACCCAGCATAACTACATGCAAGAAAGTGACTATCAAATGCACCATGGGTAAGAGAGGCTGCAGAATAAGCCCCCGAAGCAGAAGGGCAGAAGCAGACATGTCTTGTGCCTAATCCAATGGCTTCTCTACCCAAAGCCTATGGGGACAGCAGCATCCATATCCAACCACTGCAGTGGCAGCACTGTATCCCACTGGAAATCAGGGTTCCACCTGCCCTGGGGGAGCGCTCAAATCACCCCGCAGTATGTCTGCTATCAGTCACTGCTGATGACTAAAATGGCAACATAAGAATAAAATGGTAAAGACTGTAAAATAGCTGTCTGGACAGGATGACTGTGGGAAGGCAGAGCACCCCAGAGGTGACACCGCTCTCCCCACAGAAGCTTTGAAAGAGAAATGGCAAGCACACTGGCACGCATTTGTCAAAAGAATAATCAAGGAGGGGAACGTGAAGCTGCCCTGCAGGGCTGCTGCCCAAACCTCAGCTGTTTCTTTGCTCTTTGTGCTCCAGAACCCTTCATTTTCTTCAACCAGCTGAAATTCAGCACACATCCTTGCTTGATCTTAGCAGGATTTTCTACTTAACCTACATATCACCCACGCGTGTTTCAGCATTTCCCAACAGTACTCTAAATCTTCCTTGCAGCAGGCTGCAGCCTAATGAGGTCTGACATCACATGGTGCTTCAAACAAGCAGCAGATGTGCAGCAGAGAGACCAGACATCTCTAACAGCATCACTTGGCCAGTCAATAAATCCAGAATACTCCTTTATAGGGAACACCGACCTTTTGAAACCCTAGTGTGAGGACGTGGTTAGGTGACATATACATCTCTCCCCCGAAATTAACAGCCTGCAAAATCACTTGCATTAAAGACTGCATTAATAAAAGCTTTGAAAAATTGTAGTGTATCAAAAGCAGTGGAAGCTGCTCCCCATTGAGCACATCCCTGCAGCCAGCTGCTGCACGGGGCGTTCCAGAAGCACGACAGGTATCTGCAGGCTCTGACAGAAACCCAAGGACAACTGAAAAGTATGCTGTTAGCCTAATCCTCCTCCTGCCTACTTATCAGCAGTATGGCATGAAAATTCTCTCTTCCACTCTTCCCCTTTCTCGCTTTTTAATATTTAATGTTTCCATGCATCATGTTATATCATCCTCCGGGAAAGAAGCACAGGATAAATCAGAAACATCACAGCCCCAAACCCACCAACAGTTTGCAATTTAATATCCTGAGTGCTGACTTTTGATCAACAGTTGGGGGAGGAAGAGCACCATCTTCTGCTGCCTTTCATTTTGCAGACTCCGGTAACACTAAGTGTCCCAGGACATGAAATCTCATATATAGGTGTGACTTGCTGTAGTGTGACACCATTTAAAATTATTGAAATGTCCAAGGAAGGTCACTCTTTTGGCTAAATGTGAACTCTTGGCTTTGATATCATGTACTAATAAATAAGAAAATTATGGAGGCAAGTCTAATTGTTGGCTTCCTTTATAACAGTCAGGGCTAGAAAGCACTTATGGCCTGCAGAGGGAAAAATACAGAAGACTTAAGGGGAAAAAAAAAAAAAATGTCCTGTGCCTGACTTCACAGTGTATGGAATACTGGGGGCTCTCTCTGAATTTGTAATGGGAGGTGACAGCAACCACAGAAATTGTGGTGGGGACATGAAGCCCTGTCACATCTCTACTGTGTGGATAAGATTATTTACTGATGCTTCTAGCCCGGACTGAAAGAGGGGAAGTGATGGCTTGTGTTACAGATCAGCAGAGATGCCTGTGTTGTATTAGAAACCAGGTGTCATGAAAGAAAATTTGGAAACTTCATACAGGCACCATCAAATCCTGCCTCAGTTCTTTAAGGTCAACCACAAAATGAGGGAGAAGCTGACTGCTAGAGTGGAAGAAAAAAAGAAGAGCAGAGATAGCAGCTTTCCCATTATATCCATTTTAATAGCAAAAATCTCACTAAGCCGACATCCATTGCAGGGAGCATGACTGTCCCAGTCCTGCACTGAGGAAGACTTTCAGGCAGTGTCTTTAATTTTCCTGTTTATGTGAGGGAAGTGAGAATCAAGTCAGCCTTGCTTTTAGGTATAAATTCATTCATCATCCATTTTCATTACATTTTTAATATATATGTTATTATTCTTGCTTAAATTATTCCAACTACTGGCTTGATGCAGGGTATTTTTTTTTTTTTTAATGAAATCTCATCTGATGCACTGGCCCAACATACATATCTTTCTGAAGAGTTATGGGAAGATTGACTCAGAGAGTAATTAGTATCACCTCACTGCTTTCAGTATTTTGACTCGTAATAATAAAGAGAATAGTTATTTGTAATGTTGAAGATGTATGTTATTTTGTTTATATACATACACAGTATTATTTATGTAAAAAACTGTATGTATAAAATAAAAAACAAAGGGGGACACCACTCAGATCTCGTACAACAATTTTTGTTGAAATACTTAGCAAAACAGAAGAAAATAAAAATGAAAATCCCTCCAAATACAGATCTCCCAATAACGGGGAGATTCAAATCCTATGTAATGGCTTCAGGTCACCTCCACCATCAAAGTTATAATATTCTGTGTGTAAGATTCTGCAAAAGGATTCATTGAGATATATAGTCTGTAGGTAGGAAGAAGAGCTCTGCTTTCACAAAGCTCTAAATCCATTATACAAATTATCCCTTTTGATCTTTTCCTATTGCTCCATACCGCTTTACAGAAATGCACTGTATGATGAATCAGAAATGGCTCCAAGGAATTGTCACTCACCACTTGTGGTGTTGTCACTTTCAGTTCCTGCCGTAGGGGTCACCTGTGCTGGCTGCTGCGCAGCTGTAAGTTGTGTCGTACTTTCTGTGGCATTAGCTGGAGTAGTTGTGTTACCTATTAAACGAAGAACGTTGAACATTTTTTGTCATTTTTATATACTCATTTGCACACACAAAAAAGTCTACTGCTTTGCTTGCAGTAGGACTAAAATCAGAATTTAAATTGAAGATCAACAGGAACAAGACTCCCTTCCCTGTAGGGAAACCCAGCCCCATCAGTGGGACATCCCCATGAGCACAAGCCTGTGATAGAGCAGTTATCAGACCTGGCTTGGATCTTCCTTGAGCCTGATGGCTCTGGAGGTACTACCAAAGATGTGACCATCTATAAATGCATTCCCAGGCCAAGGGCACTGCTGCTCAGTGTCCACTCAGTGACCACTGGATCAGCCTCAATCATTAGCACAAGAAAACATCACTTACAGCTTGTTGTAATGGACAGAGTCATAGTTGAGGCTGTAGTTGTTGTCAGCTTTGTTGCTAGAAGTGTCGATGCTCTTGAAACGTTTGTGTTCAAATCTTCCTCCTCTGCAAGAGAGGCATTTTTATTGATTTATTCCACATAAAGAGCCCATACTGCTAGCTGCCTTCTCTCATACAGGCAGCTGAGTTTCTCTTTGAATCAGGCTCTCACAGACCTTTCTTGCCCACAGGTGCTTCTAGAGGGCTCACAGCACACACAGTTTGCATCGCAGGGAAGGGATACATTTCTTGGGAGGTCACAGAAAGCCTGGCAGGCCCTTCTCCAAGGTGTGCAGCCAAGCTTTGGACATCTGAGTGAGAGGAATAATGGTCTCTAGCATGTGATAATCCCTGGCATGAACTCAGTGCTCATGTTTCCTGGAAGCTCCCTCCCGCAGAGGAGCAAGAGCTGGTGGTGGTGGAAGTAAGGGCATCCTCAGGCAGCAGGGATCTGTCAGTTGCTGCTATGGGAAGAGGGCCTCAGAGCTGGCCATGTGACAAAGATGATGGAAAGCTGCCCAGAGTTCTGTTCCATCACTTAATAGAAGCAGAAAGCACTACTGTCAGCCACAGGGGCTCATTTCTATTCCTGCCTACAACCCAAGCCCTGTCATGCTCCCTCTTCTAGTGCTGCTCAGAGATGGGAAATATGATAGAATAGGAACAAATAACGACCTGCCACTTTCTCTCATACGGATGGGGTACTTCTAAATATAATGGCCACACCAGAACATATAAGAACATATAACTGTCTCCCTTTCCTCCTGCTTTGCTGGCTGTTCGCCTAGAATAACAGCGCCTCAAAGAAAGAGTCTCCCTGGAAGCTTGTTCCACATCCACAGAGAGCTTTAACCTCACTGGGGGCTTCTGATGCTTTGCTCATAGACATAAACAACTATTAGTATTACAACAAATTACTGCTTTCTCCTCTATGACATAAAGCTGCAAGGGAAGTTCAGTGAAATGTCTGAAGATCTCACTCACAATGAGGTATGGGTTCTTTATTAAATGCTTTTAGAATAGACATAAACATCAGGGTTTTTGAAATATAAAAGAACTACAGCACAATCTGAAAACGTCTCATTCTTCTCATAGGAAAAACATTCAGACTTTCTCTGGCTGCATCTTATTCTCTTCCTTTAATAACACCGAATGTATCCATCTTTATTATCCCATTGCTCTCAGCTCCAAAACAGATTCTTTAATATCTTCAGTTATCAAAAAACACAGTCCCATCTCCAGTTTTTCTTCCTCAGATGCATCACATTCAATGCAGCCATTTTCAACATTTAAACTAATAAAGCAGTTGATACTTAGCCCACAAAAATACAATACAGTCAATAGTAATCTTTCATAAGATACTCCCCTATGAGGACAGGCCAACAGAGCTGGGGCTTTTCAGCCTGGAGAAGAGAGTGCTTCAGGGGACCTTATAGCAGCCTTCCACTACCTGAAAGGGGCCTACAGGAAAGCTGGGAGGGACTTTTTATAAGGGCAGGCAGGATCAGGAAGAGGGAAAATGGCTTTAAACTGAAAGAGGATAGATTTAGACTAGATATTAGGAAGAAATTCTTTACTGTGAGGGTGGTGAGACATTGAAAATGGTTGTCCAGAGAGGCTGTGGGTGCCTCCTCCCTGGAGGTGTTCAAGACCAGGCTGGATGGGGCTTTGAGCATCCTGTTCTGGTAGAAGGTGTCCCTCCTATAGCAGGGGAGTCGGAACTAGATGATCTTAAATGTCCCTTCCAACCCAAATCATTTTATGATTCTATGAATTTGAACTCTTACCAGTTTTTGTTGTAGATGCAGAAACATTTGCACTGACAGTAGTGTCTGAAATGTCACCTTCTGAAACAAACACAGAAAGGAATACATTAGTCTAGCCATCTTCCAGATCTGTCTATCATTACATAGGTACATAGGGCAGATAGCAGCAAGCACTTTTATAGAAAATCAAGTTTAGAAGCCTGTAAGCAGGAGCAACAACTGTGATCACAAGCTATTCAATCTATTAGCTTTGCCTTTGTTGCTTGAATGGGGAGCATTAGATATAGTTGTTTGCTAATAGGTTTTAACAACTTTTAAGATTGGTTTGGAAAAAAATGGAGCAACTGTAGGTTTTTTTTATCTCCTCTCCTCAAGTACAACCACAGCTGATATGAGTCTTCAGGTAGAGGTAAAATAGTTGCTTGCAAGAGGAAGCACTCAATTTCCAGCTCTAGAATGGGAGAATCCCTGCTGCCAGCAACTAAAGGTGGTTAGTGGCTCCCTGGCTAGTGCAAGCACTTCAGGAGGGCTTTCCAGCATCACCGTGATTCCTGTATGTGAGACAAAGAAAAGAATTCACAGAACATGGTTTAGGAAGCACTGCCTTGAGCAGTAATTGACTTTCCACATTGCCCTTGGGACAGTGCTCCAGCTCCAGGTGTTTTACTGCAATAAACAACGTCAATCTTTAAAACATGAGGTCAAGTTAGCAGGTGAAAATTTCCAATATTACAAATCAAATAGACAAACAAAAAAACCCGACGAGTTATCAAATAAAGTGCTACACAGTTTCCAGATTTTCTGGCTGTGAAAAAAATTATAACAGCATAACTCACCTAGAGTTTTGCTTTCAAGTAAGAAAATTTTCAGTCTCACTTCTGGGACATTCAAATATTTTACTGAAAAGCTAAGGGACTGAAAAAACTACAAAGTCAAAACCAGTGGCTCTCTGCAAACACTGCACATCATTGTATGACCTATATTGGTGTATCTGGGGAGGAAGAGCTCAGCTCAGAGTGAGATCAGAGCAGCCAGATCCTCTGGTTCAGTGTGACATCTTGCCACATGCCGTGAGCATGCTGTAACGCTGACATCGCAACACTGAGTCAGGGTGGCACATCGCTGTTCTTGTGTGACTCCATTCATGGTAATATCTGCTGGCACGCTCTCTGCCTTCTGGCTGCAGGGCAGAACAGTCAACTTCATTCCCTCTGCTCAGCATGCTGTGCTCTGTTAACATTTCACAAGCTCCAGTCGAGGCTTGCCAAAGTCACAAATCTAATACAGGGGAAAAATACCTGATGCACTTGCTCACTGGTTCCCTATGGGACTGCTTCCCACTGCACGAATGCTGTCAGGCCATTCTCAGACCCTTGCACACATTATCTAATATACTGTTTTTCCTGCAGTTTCGTTATCCAGTCAGAATAATGCTTCATAGTCCTCACGTGAAATATTTGAAAACAAATTCTACCTAAGCAGACCAAAAAGCAGCCTTGTCTAGGGAGATATCCCAAACATTGAATATTTCTCCTCTTTGTTGTCATTAAGAGCTGGTGACAAAACTCCCCACATCACAAGGCCATAGCTCCAAACCAGAATGTTTTTACAACAGAGCAAACACTTCACATGGCTCAGTAAACATACCCCAGTAACTACATCTGTAATGTCAGCTGAAGGCACTCACTGGCTGATTAGCTCCTTCTTCAAGTCAGCAAGGCTTTGTGGAAAGACCATGCAAGGCTTTATGTGCAAAACTTAACTCAAAATTAAATACATACATATGTACATATAAAACTAATAAATTAATTTGTAGCTTTGCTATGAATCACAAGTTGCTGATTTTGTCACAGAGATAAACTAGATTAGTAGAGTAGAAAGCAGTGAAGTTCTATGAATTAATTGCTACCTTAAAATGGTGGATAATTAAGCATACTTTACAAATAAGTTGAAAGCAATACATAGAAATGCTTAAAGTTAACCAAGATTTGGGGGGCATCAATTGATTAAATGCAGAGACAGATGGTGAATTATTATGCTCTTATTTGCAATGTTAAGGATAAAAACAAGGGATTAAAAGTGACTGAGAGTGGAAATTTGGCTTATTAGAAGCTGTTGCTTGATGAAAAGAGAGGAATATTAGGTTTTTTCTGCCCTTTCATATTGTCTGTGGCCTCATATGAAGAACCACCAACCTGAGTTGCAACTGCAAAGTTTTGGACAAATTTAGATGCAGCTATTTGAGAGAGAAACACTTCCATAGTCCTCACGTTGGGAGTACCCCAAATGTCCTTGGCAGCAGCTCCCTCACACAGCCCCTTCTCTTGGCCAGAGGAGCATGGGTGCCCTGTGCCTGAAGGATGTGTGAGGAAAGGGCTAAGATGCAACATGAGGTAGATTAAAGAGTGGTGTGCTTGCTGTCAGCGGGAGATCCACACAGAAAAGGAAAAGCATGTCTAAAAGTAGAGAGCGAGGCGAGAAGAAATCAGAAGTGGAAGGAAGATAAGAAGGCAGGAAGAAGATGGGAGGTCTGGGCAGGAAGGCTCAGAGACAGTGAGACAAAAGGGCAGCAGGAAAAGATATGAAGGAATGAGAAGAGCTCAATAAACATTTGACCTTTGACCAAAAGGCCAAACTGAGGAAAGAGAAACCGTAATTTATTTTTTTTTTCATTCAGATTCAGAGGATGTACTTTTATTGTCCTCTCTGGCTTGGATGTAGATGGTTCATTTGTTCTAAAATTAAAACAATAGTAAATCCATTTGTACCTGTCTTCAGATACGATCTAAGAATGATCCGGCTGAAACTCTGAGCTAACTTCCTTTCCTCAAAAATTCCAACAGAGCTCCTGAGCTCAGGCAGAGCTGACCAGTGGCCACAGCTGTCCTCAAGCTGTAATGTTTGATGTGGGCTTCCATTCCCAGGGTCTGAGCTTGGAGCTCTCACCAGCTCTTCCTTCTCTCTATCTCATTATTTTCAACTCTACATGGGGAAGACTAAGATAAGCAGGTTTCAACTTGAGTTAACTAGGCACCTGCTATTACTTCAATAAATACAGGGGAAAAAATGCAGGCAGGACTGCACGATATTTCATCAGCAGTGCTGTTAGTGTGCTACAAACTACTACAGGATACAAAGCACTAAGCTTTAAATGCCTTGTGAAACAGCTAATACGAAAGTAAATAGCAAAAAATCAAAATGTAAACACTGTTAAAGATGAATGAATTGTTCAAAATATGTCTTGATTATATTTCATTACTCAGTGCTGACTGCTTTGGCATCTAAATCTGATTTCAAAAAATGATTTTTATTGGAAAAGTCACTATCTCTACAGAAATAGTGAAATAGCCTGTCTTTAACTCGACTTTTAACTTTTTAAAATCCGGTCTTGCACTAGGCTAATAGAGGATATGTTGGTATTGAACCCTCTTCGTCGCTTAGATAAGCCCTGGTGTAGACACAGCTGAAGATATAGGTCCATCTTGGGGATCAGGCTGAGGAGCAAGTGGGTAATGGGATTGTAGAAACTACCAGGAGTCTAGGAAGAAAAGACCTCTCAGGAAGAATGACGAGCATTGCATTTACTTAGCCTAGAGAGGAAAAGGTTGATGGAAGGTGTGATAGCAGCACTTGTGCAGGTAAGGGGCTGCAAGAAAGGCAAAGGAATAAGCTTCTCACTGCAACTGCTGAAGATTAAACTAGAGGTAGCATGCAAGGGAAATCTGAACTAGAACATTCCAGGTTTTCAGCGCTGTATCTGCTTTTTCTCTACTTCAAGGCTATACTGTGGAACCTGCAGGTAGTTTTTTCCATTTCACATACGTCTATCTGACCCTGCGCCTTTGCAATTGTACACAAGACATGCAGAAGTCCAGGTTACTTTCTTGCTTTCTGTCTCTCCACATTGGCAGAAATAGACGGTAGCCCTTTCCCAGAGAGCACACACTACCCCCACGATCATCGAGTGCTGTCTGTACAGCTGCTCCAGCCACTCCAGCTGCCTGCCTCATCTCCCTGCTGCAGGAAGGCACAGCCAGCCTGGAACAAGAGCTGGTCCCAATATTCTCTGAGCTCCCCACAGATTGCTGCTGCCTAACAGCATATACAACCTCCTCACTCTTACCTCTGAGCTGTGTTATTACATTTTCTGTTTGGTTCTCATTTCTTGCTGCTTCAACTCTTTATTCTCTTATCTGTTTTTTTTCTCCAGACCCAGTGTAGTTCTCTTAGTACTCTTATTTCTGTTTTCTCTCTTTATCCATCTCACTTTCCTGCTTCACTACCTTCTGCCCGAAATCTTGAGATAGATTTCTCTTCTTCTGGAGTTCACTTTCGTGTGGCATCCTCCAAAGAAGAAAACGCTCTGCCCAGATGAGTAGTCCATCTGCTGCCAACCTCCCATTGCACAAGTATCACTCCCATGTGCAGGCAGCCAAAACAAGTTTTGCACCTGTTCAGACTTCACTCAAGACCTCCAAACTAAACTAAAAAGCACTCAAATACATTAAATTTAGGGGTTGAGCCTAGGCTTTAACTCCTGATACACAAAGAAGCCTTCCACATGGGCTTTCTACAGCCCAGCACAGCCTTTGCAGTAAGGCTGCCTGGGAGAATGTAGTTTAATTACTTTAGGTGAAGCTTCTGGTACTTAATCTGCTACGCTTAGATGAGCTTGTGTTTTCCTGTGCATTTGCCATGCAGACACTTTCTGTGTCCCATTCTCCAATCAGTGAAAGAGAGATACTAGCATACTCTTCTTTTTTGGAGGACTACAAACTGCAGCACATAGTAGTACCACGTTATCAATAAAGAGAGATCTGCTGTTCAAGGCTTCAGATGCATCTGTAGATCTGCCTATACAAAGAATAATAACATATGTACAAGCTGCAAAGTTTACTTTTTCAGCTTTCTCAACATTTAGCATTGTCTGGAACATGCGTTCCACGTACAATCAGCCCTCTGAAAAGGCAGGAGAAAGCTGCATCAAAGAGCAGACTATGGAAAGGGTCTTTATTTTAGATAACTGTTGTTCAGTCTTCTCTCAGTGTTTCTGCAAACTATTTTAATTCTACTAAGATAAG